GTGCCTTTAATCCCAGCACTCAGGAGGCAAAGGCAGGCAGATCTCTGTGAGTTCAAGGCCAGCCTAGTCTACATAGTGCGTTCCAGAACAGCTGGGGCCATAGGAAGACCCTGTCTCAAAAAGACCAAAAAAAAACCAAACAAAAAAATGTGGCCTCTTTAAACAAGGGCTGCAAAATATATTTAGGATAGTCCCTGATATTCATCTTTTCTTGTTCATTAGTTTGTAATTACTTTAATTTGCCTTCTCCTTGACTGTGGTAGATTTAAAGAGCATTCTTTTTATCCTGGAATAATTTTTGTTTTGAGACAGGGTCTCCCTGTAGCCCCAGCCAACTTGGAACTCACTGTGTGGACCAGGCTGGCCTCGAACTCCCGCAGATCCACCTGCCTCTGCCTCCCTAGTGCTGGGATTAAAGGCATACACCACCACGCCTGGCTAGAATAATTTTTTTTTTAATATTTTATTTTTTTGTATGTAAGCATGTAGGTAAGTGCACCCATGTCATGCAATGCCTGCAGAGGACAGAAGAGGCTGTTGGAGCCCCTGGAACTGGAGTTATGGACAGTTATTAGCTGCCATGTGGGTGCTGGGATTTGAACCTGGGTCTTCTGTAAGAACAGCCAGTGTTCTTAACTGCCGAGCCATCTCTCCAGCCCCTAGAATAATTTTTTAAATACTCTGTTGAGAAGAAAAATCATGTTATGTTTTGGTTGGTTGGTTTTCTGTTTGTTTGTTTTTCTTTTTTTTTTTTTTTTTTTTTTTTTTTTTTTTTTTGTAGCCCTATATATCCCTGGGTGTCCTGGAACTTCCTTTGTAGACCAGCCTAGTTAGTCTCACTATTTCTTTTCACTCTTTCTCTCAGAAGTAGCATAAGCCATATGTGGTAGTGCACACCTTTATGCCTTTAGTCCTTGCACTCTGGAGGCCAAGACAGGTGGATGGATCTCTTGAGTTTAAGGCCTGCCTGGTGTTTCTAGGGAGTTCCAGGCCAGCCAGAGCTACACAGTGAGACTTTGTTTCAAAGAAAGAAAAAAGAAAAGAAAAAGCAGTGGCTTTATGTTACAAAGGACAAGACAGGGAATCTGAAGATGGATAGTGGGTACAAAAGCTCAGCATTCCACACAGCTTGAGAATGAGTCTCAAATTATACATTCATATATAGATTGAATGATGAATATAAACATGAGACTTTAATCTCCTGCCTATCTGATTAGAGTCTTTGTCCTATGATCTTCTGGTTTAGAGAAAACTTTGAGTCAAGCAAATACGGTGTACTTTTTTACTCTATCTTCTTCCTCCTTCTCCCCCCGCACCCTTCTTCCTCCTCCTGGTCCTCCTGGTCCTCCTGGTCCTCTTGCCTTGTGAGTGCTGGGATTACAGGTTCTGTCCTCTTAAAATATGTTACCCTGTGTCCCAAAGCTGAAACTTCCTTTTTGATACTTTCTTTCGTAGTTGCTTTCAGTTGTGATAAAAACACTGAACAAAACCAGCTTGGGGAGGAAAGGGTTTATTTGGCTTACAAGGGAAGCTAAAGGCAGGAATTCAGGCCTGGAACCTGAAGGGAGGAACTGAAGCACAGATCATGGAGGTACACTTCTTACTGACTTGCTCCCTTGGCTTGTGTTCAGCCTGCTTGCTTATATAATACCACCTGCCCAGGGGGTAACACCGCCCACAGTAGACTGGTCTTTCCCACATCATTCAACAATCAAGAAAATGTCCCACAAACATGGACACAGAACCATTTAATGGAGGAAATGCCTCCATTGAGAGTCCCTCTACCCAGGTGTGTCAAGTTAACAATTAAAGTTATTCACTCTTTCCCCTTTGACTAAGACAGCTTCTGAATGGTCTTTTCAAATGTCTAGTGAATGTATCCCTAAACTAGCATCTTTCTGTTTTTCTTTTCTTCCTTTCCTTTCAACAGTTGTTTTGTTTAGTTTTTTTTTTCTTTCTTTTTTTAATGTGTATGAGTGTTATGCCTGTAGGTAAGTACACCCATGCATGCATTGCCCATGTAGGCCAGCAGAGGGTGTTAGATCGCCTGGAATTGGAGTTATAGACAATTTTTGGCCACTATGTGGATACTGGGAACTGAACCCCAGTCTTCTACAAGAGCAACCAGTGCTCTTAACCACTGAGCAATCTCTCCAGCTCCTGTTGATATTCTTTAGATAGGGTGTCATGTAGCTGAGGCTGTCCTCAACATCCTGAGTTCTGGAGTTATAAGTATGTTCCACCATGCCCAGTTTTATGTGGTGCTGGGGATCAAACCCAGGGCATTATGTATGCTAGTCATACAGTCTTAACAACAGAGCTATATCCTTAGTTCCTTTTTTATTTTATTTTTTGGTCTTTTTTGAGACAGGGTCTCTCTGTAGTCCCTGGTGGCCTGAAACTCAACATGTAGACCACGCTGGCCTTAATCTCAAAGATCCACCTGCCTCTGCTGAGATTAAAGGTTGTGTGCCATCACGCTCAGCTTTCTTTTTTTCATTTTTTTGAGAATAGGGTCTTACTATATAGCACAGGCTGGCCTGGAATTTATACTGTAGTCCAGGCTAGCCTTAAACTCGTCTCTTGCCTCCTCTGCCTGAATACTAGGGTTGCAGATGTGAGCTACCACACCTGGTTCCAAGAGCACTATTTTCTAAATTGACACACTTAACTTACAGTCTTGCTTCAGACCCCAGTTTGAGCACAGGTTGACTGGCAAGTTTTCCTGGTTAGTTATTACCATTTTTATATTGCTTAATTCTCTTTCTGTGAAAAATGTCACTGCCTTATTTTTTCTCTTTTCTTTTTGTGTTTAGGTTCCAAATAAATTCCGCTATCCATTTTACTACGAAATGTGTTGGTACGTGTTGGAGCGCTATGTATACTGCATAACCAACCGTTCCCACCTAACCAAGGAATTTCAGAAAGAATCCCTCAGCATGGGTAAGTGTTTAGCCTGTGTGAACTTTGAAGAAACTAGCTAAGAAATACTTAGTATACTGTTACTTAGTAATTGTGGTTTGGGATTTCAGCTTTTCTAGCTGTCTGCTTAGAAATACCAAATTCAGGACTAGAGAGAGGATTTAGTGGTTAAGAGCATTGGCTGCTCTTACAGAGGACCAGGTTCAATTCCCAGCACTCATGTGGTGGCTAACAACTGTGTCTAATTCCAGTTCCAGGGGATCCGATGTTCTCTTCTGACCTCTGCGGGCATTGCATGACATGGGTGCACGTACATACATGCAGGCCATATACTTATACACATAAAAATAATAAATAAAAATTTTTAAAAACACCAACTTCAGGGTGGAGAGATGGCTCAGCTGTTAAGAACACTGGCTGTTCTTGCATAAGACCCGGGTTTGAATCCCAGCACCCACATGGCAGCTAACAACTTTCCATAACTCCAGTTCTAGGGGATCTGTCCTCTGAGGGCATTGCATGACACGGGTGCACTTAACCTATACACAGGTAATACACACATACACATAAAATAAAAATAATAGCCGGGCGTGGTAATGCACACCTTTAATCCCTGCACTCAGGAGGTAGAGGCAGGTGGATCTATGTGAGTTCAAGGCCAGCCTGGTCTACATAGTGAGTTCCAGGACAGCTGGGGCTACAGGGAGACCCTGTCTGAAAAAGACCAAAAAATAATAATAAATATTAAAAAATAATAATAAATATTTATATATATATATATATATATAATCGGGGCTGGAGAGATGGCTCAGCGGTTAAGAGCACTGACTGCTCTTGGAAAGGACCTGGGTTCAATTCCCAGCACCCATATGGCGGCTATGAACCATCCTTAACTTCAGTTCCAGGGGAATCCGAAGCCCTCTTCTGACCTCCTCAGCAATCAAAATAATAAATAATTTTTTTAAAAAAAAGAAGAGTCTGGCGTGGTGGTGCAGGCCTGTAGTTCCAGCTCATGAGAGGCAGAGGCAGGTGGATCTCTGTGAGTTCAAGGCCTGCCTGGTCTACATAGTGAGTTCCAGACCAGCTGGGGCTGCAGGGGGACCCTGTCTCAAAAAAAAAAAAAAAAAAAAATACTTACAGGGGCTGGAGAAATGGCTCAGCAGTTAAGAACACTGGTTCCACTGGTTCTTCTTGCAGAAGATCTGAGTTCACATCCCAGCACCCACATGGCAGCTAACAGCTGTCCGTAACTCCAGTTCCAGGGGATCCGACAACCTCTTCTGTCCTCTGCAGGCATTGCACAACATGGGTGCACTTACCTACATGCAAGCAATACACTCATTACACATAAAATAAAAATAATAAATAAAATATTAAAAAAAAACTTGCCCATGTATTTATAGGTAATAAGAGACAAAGCCACACCCTTAACCAGACTGATTGTTTTTAATCCTGTGCTTTAACATTTCCCCAACCACTATCAAGAGAAGTGCTTAATTGGATGAAATAGTAGTTTCAGTATACATCTTTAGACTAATCCATGTCTTAAATTTGTAGAGGAGGCAATACTGAAATATTTTGACTACATTTCTGTGAAATCTTCAAAGATGATCCTTTTTTCCCCCTCCTCCTTCTTGAGGCAGGATCTCAGGTATCCTGGTCTGACCTATAAACGCGCTTTGTAGTTGAGGGTGACCCTGAGTTTCTGTGACTCTGCCTGGTTTATACTGTGCTTGAGGTCAGATGTTGGTGTTCGTGCTTGCTAGGCAAATACATGCTTGGTACCCCAGCATCTTATTTTTATTGGGACAGGGTGTCCTTGTATCTTGAACTTGCTATGCAACTAAGGAAGACCTTGAACATCTGATTCTTTGGCATCTACCTTCCAGAATTGTATTACAGGCCTGTACTACCACACTTTTTTTTTTGATGTGCTAAAGATGGAATCCAAGACTGCATGCTGGGCATACAGTCTTACAATCGAGCCACTGGAGCTACAGAGAGACCCTGTCTTTTTTTTTTTTTTTTTTTTTTTTTTTTTTTTTTGTCTTTTTGAGACAAGGTCTCCCTGTAGCCCCAGCTGTCCTGGAACTCACTGTGTAGACCAGGCTGGCCTCAAACTCATAAAGATCCTCCTGCCTCTGCCTCCCAAGTGCTGGAATTAAAGGCATGCGCCACCATGCCCAGCTGAGACCCTGTCTTTTTTTAAAAAAAGAAAAAAAGAAATTCATATGTCCTTCACCTCATTTTTGGTACTAGTACGGTATCCTTCTTCTATTCCTGACCATGGTTTTCAACAAGGCATTTCTAGGCCCCTCCTTTGCTCGTTGATCATATGGCCAACTGGCCTCTTACTGCATGCTTTTCTTTTGCATTGGTAGATATGGAGTTAAATGGGTTGGAATCTGGAAATGGCGACGAGGACGGGGCAGACCGAGAAATGCGACGCTTGAGCAGTAGGCGCTCTGTGCTCACCAGCCCTGTAGCTAATGGTGTCAACCTGGATTATGATGGTCTGGGGAAAACGTGCAGAAGTCTTCCAAGTCTGAAGAAAACTTTGGCTGGAGACTCATCCTCAGACTCTAGCCGGGGATCCCAAAATGGCCAAGTTTGGGATCCCCAGTGTAGTCCTCGAAAGGACAGGCAAGTGCATCTGACCCATTTTGAGCTTGAAGGTCTTCGGTGCCTCGTAGATAAATTGGAGTCCCTACCACTGCACAAGAAATGTGTTCCCACAGGGATAGAAGATGAAGATGCTCTGATTGCTGACGTAAAGGTAAGCAACTTTTGACCTGGCTAGGAGAGTCAGATTTCTGGATTTGGAGGGAGGAAGTTCAGGGATTGAGGGAAATCTCTGGTTCAGCTAGAGGGAAGTTAATAGTTGCATGTGTCAGTGCTTGAGTTCCTAGAGTGACAGTAAGTCCCTGCAGTGGAAATGTTAACATTGTGTCTTCGATGTGTGCTTAAATATGCTGCTTAAACCTTCAGGCTTACCACCAGAATAAAGGTGAGCCTAAGAATGTGTGTGCTTTTAAGAAAGGGGTGGGGATTCTGGAGAGATGCCTCAGTGGATAAAGATGCCTGCTACCAAGCCTGACAACCTGAGTTCAATCCTGGAAACAACTCCCACAAGTTGTCATGTTACCACTACAGCCACACACGCAAAAGCAAAGAAAGTAAGTTCATGCTAGGCACGCCTTTAATCCCAGCACTTTGGAGGTAGAGGCAGATGGATCTTTGTGAGTTCCAGACCATCCTGATCTATATTAATGAGTTCCAGGCCAGCTGGGGCTACAAGGAGACCCTGTCTCAAAAAGACCAGAAAAACCAGTAGGTTCATTTAGGGATGGCATAGTAGATAAGTGCTGTTGGTGCACAAGCCTGAGGACCTGAGTTCAACCCCCAGAACCCACAGGGCAAAAGCCAGATGCAGCAGTGCTCATCTGTAACCCTGCAGAGACAGGAGGATTGGCCTCAAGCTGATTTTCCCCCCACCTCTCTCTGGTCCCTCCTCCCAATGCAGTCCTGCTTTAATGTCACAATGTATTCCATCACTTTCTCCCCTCCCTTCCCTCCCTATTCCCTCGTGTTTTTATCCTCCCTCCTCATGGTCTCCTTTCCACTCTCATCACGTGTACACAGTTGTTACGTGTAAATATATTTTGATGTGTTTTTGTTTGATTGAGACAGGGTCTCCCCTGTAGCTCCACCGGCCTGGAACTTGATATATAGACGAGGCTGGCCTGGATCTCACAGAGATTCACCTTCATCTGCCTCTGGAGTGCTGGGACTAAAGTTTAAATCTAGATTCCCTGTATGAAAGAGAATAAATGAATAATGTTTTTCCTTGTAAACCTATTTGCCTAACAATGATCTCAATTCCATCCATTTTCCTAACAATTTCATCTTTCATTACAGCTGAATAAAACTTCGTGTATGTATACTGCATGCTCATTATCCATTTATCTGTTGATGAGCATCCAAGCTGTTTTCATTTGTTAGCTGTTATGAATAATGCTGCAGTGAACACATATATTCAAATATCTCTGTGCTCTGTTAACTTGGAGTCCTTCATGTATATACCCAGTGGTATAGCTGGGTCATATGGTAGCTCTATTTTTAGGGTTTAAAATACATGTTTATTTTTTGGTCTTTTTGAGACAGGGTCTCTTTCTAGCTCCAGCTGGCCTTGAACTCACAGCGATCTGCCTCGCCTCCTGAGTGCTGGAATTAAAGGTGTGTACCACCACACCCATCTTACTATTTTTATTTTATGTGTATGAATGGATTGCCTGCATGGATGTAAGTGCACCTGTGTCATGCAATGACTATGGATGTCAGAAGAGGGCATCAGATCCCTAGAACTGGAATTATGGACAGTTGTTAGCTACCATTTGGGTGCTGGGATTTGAACCTGGGTCCTCTGCAAGAGTAATCAGTGCTCTTAACCACTGAGCCATCTCTCTAGCCCAATTTTTAGTTTTTTTGAGGAACTTCCACACAGATTTCTGCAGTGGGTGCACCAGCTTACATTCACCAGCAGTGTATAAGGTCCTTTTTACACATACCCTTGCCAGCACTTATCATCAGTTTTCTTTTTCTTTTTTGTAATTTGCATTGTGTGTGTGAGATGTAGGAGACGTGTGTGGAGGGCAGGACAACTTTGTGTTCTCTATTTTCTCCTACATTTACATGGGTTCCAGGGCTCAGACTTGGATCCTTAGGCTTGTAAGACAATCATTTTACTTTTGAGCCATCTTACCAGCCCATCAGTGGTTTCCTTTGTGATAGCTAGTCTCACTGGGGTGAAATGGAATCTCACAGTAGTTTTAATTTGTACTACATTGATGATTAGGAGGATTTAAACACCTTTTCAAGTGTTCATTGGGTATTGGTTTTTTGAGAACTATAAGTCTTGTTTATTTATGTGTATGTGTTGTGACTTTGTGTGTATACACTGTGTGTGTTTGGGTGCTCAGGGAGGCCACAGGAAGCTGTCAGACCCCTGGAACTGGAGTTAGAGGTGATTGTAAAGCTGTCCAAAGTGGGAGCTGCTCCTCTGAAAAACCTGCAAGGGCTTGTACCAGTGAGTCCCCCAAAGGCTCATACCTCTAGTCCCCCAAATCTTTCAATTGTTATTTTGCTTGTGTGTGTGTGTGTGTGTGTGTGTGTGTGCGGGCGGGCGCGCTATGGCATACATGTAAATGTCAGAGAATAACTAGTGTAATTTGATTCTCTCCAGCATGTGGATTCTAGGAATCAAACGTAGGTCACCTGGCTTGGTAGCAAGGGTGCTGCCTGCTGAGCAGTCTTACTGGCCTGTACTATGTTTTCTTCTAGCAGTTTCAAGTTTTCAAATCACCTTACTTTAAGGTGATTCACTTTGAATTGATTTTAGTGCCAGATGAAAGATACGGTTTTAATTTCATTCTTCTGTATGTGTAAGTTTTCCAAGCACCTTTGGCAAAGAAGCTGTCTTTTCTAATGTGTGTTTTTAATACCTTTGTTCAAAATTAGGTGACTGTACCTATATGGAGTTCTGTCTGGATCCTGCATCCTATCCCATTGTCTACTTGTCTGTTTTTGTGCCAGTGCCATACAGTTTTTTGTAACTATAGTCTTTTCTATCCCTAATTTTTTTAATGTGATTTTTAATGGGTTAACTATTCCTAAATTTGGCCAGTTCTGTATAATGAGAAGTTTTTATAAAGTGAGTTTAGAGCTTAAACTATGAGAGTCTGAACATCACTTTAAAAGGCACTGGAAGCTTCTAGAGAGATGACTCAGCAGTTAAAGAGTGCTTGTTGGTCTTCCAAAGGATCTGAGTTCAGTTCCCAGCACCCATATTGGGTGACTCACATCTATCTGTTTTACCGTGGAGCCTGGGTTGGCCAACTCCAGGTGATCCAGTACCCTCCTCTCGCCTTCCAGGGCATTATACATAATATACATATTATTAAAAATAAAGTAAATCACCTGGCATGGTGGCACCCGCCTTTAATCCCAGCACTTGGGAGGCAGAGGCAGGCAGATCTCTGTGAGTTCAAGGCCAGCCTGGTCTACATAGTGAGTTCCAACTGGGGTTACAGGGAAATCCTGTCTCAAAAAAACCAAAAAAGGGGGAACTATTAGACTATTGCTACAGCAGAAAATAAAAGAATAAGAAAGGATGTATGGCAGCAGCACCTTTTATATCAGTGTGGAGTAGGCTTGCTCTGGTCTGGTTTGACAAGATGGAGAGATGACCCAGCAGTTAAGAGCCCTGGCAGCTCTTACAGAGAACCTGGTTATTTCAAATTCCCAACACCCACATGGTAGCTAAACTGTAACTGTAGTTCCAGGGAGATCCAGTGCCATCTTCTGACCTTATGACACAGGTAGTATCACTCATACGCATAAAATAAAAATAACAAAAAAATTTTACTATTTATTATTTTAATTTATGCGTATGAGTGGAGTGTATTGCCTGCATGTATGAGAGTGCACCCGTGTCGTGCAATGCGGTGGAGGTCAGAAGAGGGCTTCGGATTTCCCCGGAACTAGAGTTAAGGATGGATTGTAGCCACCATGTGGGTGCTGGGAACTGAACCCAGGTCCTCTGCAAGAGCAGTCAGTGCTCTTTAACCACTGAACCATCTCTCTAGACCCTATAAATAAATTTTTTCCTTTAGATAAAAGATAAAATATTTTTGGTCTTTTTGGGACAGGATCTCCCTGTAGCCCCAGCTGACCAGGAACTGGCCTTGATCTCACAACACAAAGATCTACCTGTTCCTGTCTCTGCCTCAAGTATGCTGGGATTAAAGGTGTATGCCACCACACCCAGCTTAAAATTAAAATAAACCTTAAAATTGGGAGTGGGCATAGTAACTCATAACCCATAAATTCCAAGCGCTGTGCTCTGAGTTTGAGGCCAGCCTGGTCTACAGAATGAGACCCTGTCTCAAAAACAATAGGACAAAGCAGAGAAACATTGGGCTGGGTAGGTGTCAGTCACCGCACAGATGACTGCAGTGCTGGAGAATTTAGTTCTTATGTGCTGATGGCTGCATTGCAGGGGAGGGACAAAAGGAGGCAGTTTACCCTTCCTACAGAGAGAGGAATTGTATCCTGTTACAATCTGTTTGGTTCTTAGAGAGGTGTAAGGAAAAGTGATGAGATGAGAGCCATGATTACATATTTCCTGGAAGAAAAGTCCATTTTAGTGCTGTGGTAAAGGGTTTTGAACATTCTAAAATGTTACACTTTATAGTGTTGAAGAGAGAGTCATAGAATATAGAATTGGAACAGGATTAGGGCATTTTAAGAACTATTGACTTATTGGGAAAATGAAATCAGCATGGATAGACTCCATTGGAAAGTGAGTAACCTTGACTGCTGAGAAAGTATAATAAAGACAGAAATCAGGTCTCCTGCTGTGAGAGTCTTAACGTTTCTAAAATTGTAGAGGTGCAACATAATGTTTGAATAAAAAGACTGGATGTGGAGCAGGGTGCACAGTACACCACCATTCACAGAAGCAGAAGTCTGTGTATGTGTGTTCATTGCAAAGGCTTCTTAGGGTTACCTCCCAAGCTGCTGAAAGCGATGCATTAGGGTGATGAAGGTTAGCTAGAAGAGTGTAATTGGACCTTATTGTTTTGCTTGTGTCTATTTTGATCTGTTTTGGTGATAAAGAATTCTCATTATATTCACGCATGTGAAAGAACCTTTGTTGTTGTTGTTCTTTTTTGTGTTTGTTTTTGAGACAGCAGTCTCCCCGTAGCCCCCAGCTGG